AATTAATTCCTGTCTTCGATCCTTGACTTTGGGTATGGAGTAGCATTAAATATCCTGGCCTGCTATCCCACCTTTAGAGGTGTCTATAATTTAGCGAGAGAATTAGTCACTGTGTTCGGCTATTGACTTTGGTTATGGAGCAACATTAAATTTCCTGGCCAGCTCTTCCACCTTTAGAGGTGTCTACAATTTAGCGGAGACCAGGATTAATCATTATATTCGACAGTGAAAAAGTTAGGTTACCAAAAAAATAAAAACTAGCTTATTAAACAAATGTCTACATCCATCCAACAATTCCTAACCACAGCAATACATTTCACATTATATTATACACTCAAAGCCATATATATCCTAGGTTCTATCAGTTATAAAAGTAGCAAGCCAATTGAATTGGCCCTTTAAACAACAATAGAGTAAATATTTTGACTGTGTATTAATAAATTAAAGAAGTGAACTGAGCTGACTTAAAAATTGGTGACAAACTAATTAATTAACATGTCAATTCTGGCCTAGATTTTATAGTTAATGTCTGTCTATATACATATGGAAAAGTTTTCTATATATCCTCTTATTTTGTTGCCTCCTACCAAAATAGAAAGCGCAGTAATATTTTGATCATATATCTTAAAAAAATATGAAGAAAAAGAAGCATTTTTTTCTTCTTAAAATAATTCATATGCATTTCTTATTTTGACAAGTGACACTGAAATCATTTTCATATATACATACATATATGTATATGCAGAAACTAAATTATAATTAATACAAAATTCAATTGTAAATAGATTCAGTCAACTTTTCTAATCAAAATAAACATTGCATTTAGTGGAAGTGAAATTAAAGAATGCCATAAAGAAACAAAAATAACGCTATTTTCCTCCTTGATTTTACTTCATAATATTCATCGTGATAATTAGTTTCTTTTATACTTTATTATTATATTCTTACCAGACTCTGATCTGTAAGAGTCAATACTGCAAGATCAAACTCCATAACCTCTTATTTGGAAAGTCATTTCGTACCACTAAACCACAAGGTTATCGACAATTATACTATATATATATATATATATATATATAATGAAAAGGGGGGGGGGGGGGGGGGGGGGGGGGGATGGGTTGTGTATAGTACAAGGGTAGCTAGCAAGGCTTTAAACCACCTATATTCCGACAAAATAAGTGTTGATGATTGAATATAGCTGGTACAACATCTCCATCAACTTCCATGGAGAAATTAAAGTTTGGAGGCACATGCACATCACGTGATCCTCAACAAAGAATCCTTCCATGGATCTGATCCAGTTTGTGACTTTACCTAATTCCTCCTTTCCCTTCCCTAGCAATGCATAATGCATAATGCATGGCCCCATCCCCCTGATGCCCATCACTTCATCCCTCCCCCCCCCCCCCCCCCCTACCTTCATGCATCATTCCAAATTTCTTACTGTTGCCCTCATTTTATTACTATGCATACAACTTCAATTCATCTTGCATATATGCAATCATAAATATATATATAACACTGCTCCGCGGTCGAAAGGTTGAGTCATGAGTGTCTGTAATGACCTAATAAATACTCGGGTTTGAATCCTCCGTGGGGGAGGATTTCAGCCTTGAGGCGAAAAGCAAGCAGGGGGTGAGGGGCCCTTAGGTGTAGGGTTTAAACTTATAAATATGACACTGCACATTCTTTTATGTTATACTGAGTTGCTGCAATGGGGACTCGATCAATCGAATCGGAGCCAATCTGATCGAGACAGGGAAATATGATGGGTTGAGTTGAGGGTCGATAGATTTTCAAGTGCAACTTGCTTGTGTAATATTCAATTTTAAAAACCAATTTGCAATTCTTTCATAGCCAGCGAAAATCTAGGCTTTCTATTGATTTCAAGGAATTTTTATTAGGTATATGCATGTGGAGTACGTTCTGCCACTATTGTTAGCTAGCTCCCATGACAAATCTTATGTCGGTACATGTTTTCTATCTCCCTTCTCCAAACAAATTTTTTTAAAAGATATTTCAATTCATGATGCATGCTAGCTAGATCTTAGGGGGTCTACACCCAAACAAGTACTAATCGCACTAAAAGAATATATATTAATTGACAAAACTCAAGCCCAGTTGTTACTTTATAATTGAGGGAGCTTTCAATCTCGCTCTCGATCACTACCAAGATTAGAGTTTAGTGGACTTTCTTAATCTAACCTAAGAATAAAATGGGAGTAATTGACAAGTTATACCTCCAAATTAAAAGCAAATTAAAGGCTAAAATAGTACTTGAATTAGGGTTTTTCCAATTGATCAACATTTAGGACCAAAAAAAGATTGACAAGTTGTTGTACTTTCCTTAGCAATAGGCTTGATGCCAACTCTATGAAAGTGACATCAATCATGACTAAGTATATATCAATGTTACCAATTTTCTTTCATAGTACAAATCAAAAGTTGCCGGTCAAGACAATTTGTTTAGTGTGGAGTAATCATTAAGCTTTAATTTGCGGACCATAATCTGTGCCCCATTACTTATCTTAACAATAATTGATTAGATTATTGCTTTGTCATTAACCAATATAAATGCATGTTGTGGGAAATTAATTAAGTATAAGCCAAAATTATTATTAAGAGGCCAGCTTATTATTACCAATATAGCCACAGCTGAATGCGGTCGATCAGTTATTGTCTTCATTTCAAACAAGTAGTTGTCTTTTTATTAATAGGTCAGTGAACCAAACGTCTCATCTGTATTTTACAATTTTCATATCTTTATTTATAATAATCAGCATTTTTATTATTTTGTATTTTACAAATTTCATTATGTTAATCGAAAAAATAGGACCACCGTATCAATTAAATACATTCTTGACCTATGAAAGTCTTGCAGAAGTTCTAGAGTTATTTTGACAAACATTAGGTCTAAATTTTCAATCATTTTTTTAGTGATTTCGTTATAAATAAAAGAAATTAAATTATGCTTCAGTATACAGAAATCAATGAAAATTTAGCCAGGAAAGATCTTCATGTGTTTAGCATGGCGCATCACTTGACTTGCCATAATGTGATCTTTTATTACACTGATTTTGGGTTTCGTATTTCTTAAATTGTGAACCATCAATTTTGAATTAATTAGAATATAATGTACTCAGCCACTCAGGAGACCTACATTCCGGTGTAAAATATAAGAATCTGTGAAAAATTAAATCTAGTTCAGAACCTTCATTACTCTTGAAATCTCATAAAGAATTTTGTCTTGGAAACATTTTTGTGCAAATAGTTTAAGGGTTTATGTAGAGACACATATGATATACAACAAGATCAATAGTTTAAAGGTTTATGTAGAGACACATAATTGATAATTTTGATCAAATATAATATCCGATATGGTGGACATTAAATTCGATATGCTATTTAATATCATTGATAGTAACTAATAAATTTAGGTATGTAATTGATGAATGTTATAACCGTTACTACTGGAAATTATTGAATTTCCGACCACCTGAAAGTGATCTTAGATCAAGTTGAAAGCAAAAAGTGGTCGGAAATAACAACAAGAGTTTTTCCGGATACCAAAAGTGATCGGAACAAGACTTTTGACTTGATTTAAGATCACTTTCAGGTGGTCGGAAATTTCAGAATTTCCAATAATGCGCATAGTTATATATAGTCATTGGACGGCATGGACGCTAATATATTTCATTGCCATTTGAGCACTAGTGACAATATAATCTAACAAATTTATTTACCAAATCCCTTTCTACACTTTGAAAGATATGTTTATTATATTAATTAGAATGTGTAAATTTAGAAGATTTTTAATAAACATGTTAAAATAATAGTCATATTCTAGCAAGTAAGTTAGGAAATTTGGATCAAATGATTTTTCAATTCTAGCTCATTTTCTATGCCTAAGCTCGAGATCACACCAAGAACCGACAAACAATATTGTTATGTGCATAGCCAATAAAAGTATAGTTCACCGTCTCATGACATTTTTATTTTTTCAGGTGTTGACACTAACACTTTGGTATGTAAGACACCCATACACTCTCAAGTATTGGTAGGAAGGGCTCCTACTATACCTTTCCACAACTTGTAATGAGTGTTATCAAACTTCTTGCATGGTATCTTACTTAAAAGGTAATTGCTTGTCAAATAGCCTCACCGTACCCCATATATTTTGGGCTAAGCCCGAACTTATCAACACCATATTTATCATATCTTTCAATGTCAATTTTTACATTTCGCAACACTATTAGATTGAGGTGCATAAGGTGTCGTATACTCGTATACAATACCAACGCTTACATAGAAATCATCAATAATTATTTCGCATTCACTATCATGTTCACTTCTAACCCTTTTAATCTTACAATTAAGTTGATTTTTTATTTCATTCTTATAAACAATGATTTTTTCGACGGTTTCATTTATGTTCTTAAGTAAATACACTTAATAATAACATGTGATATCATCGATAAAAGTAATAAAAGGGGGTGGGGGAGGATTAGTTATGGTTCTTTTAAATTTTTTGTTGTCTATTACTTTTTTAATATAATTTAATATAATGAAGATTTGGGTTTGTGTCGGTAGAAGTACATATGTGCTATGGGTAAAGTTTTATGGTGCAAATATAGAGGCAACCTATCTTTGTCATGACAGGATTTGTTTGATGTAATTGTTCCACCTAATCTCTTGTTTTGTATGGATATTTTAGCAAACAAGAATATTTTTTCTCGAGTGAGACAAAGTGTAATCTCCAAGAACAGGAAAAAGATAAGAATAATTTAAGCATAGGTGTTAGTTGTACTTGACTTTGCAAATTTTCATCACATCATTAGTATGGCCAGAAAATGTGATATTACCCCGGCTTAACATAGTAGTTCGTCACCTGGTTTGATATTATGAGAAAAGATAACAGTGTGACGTCGTCTGATTTGATATTATGAGAAAAGACAACAGTGTGACAGCACGAGCTTAGTTCATTGATTTAGTAGGCAGTATTTGAGAGAACAGTGTAACAGCACAGACTTAGCTCATTGATTCAGTAGGCAGTATTTGAGAGAAGAGACCAAAGTTCAAAACTTGACAGCAGTAACAATCTTGTTTATTACACAAAACAATAACAATCCTGTTTGTAGAGAGGGAGGGATAATACCTAAAGGTTCATTCGAACTTATAATGCTTGTCAACCTCTTCAGATACATCCCAAGTGCAGCTCATGCCCTTTGGGAACTCGACCAAGTCGCCCGCCCCAATTTCAACACCTTCATTTGATCCGTCCGGGTACACTTTCACCTTCCCCTTCAGCAGATAGCACGTCTCCTTGGAAGAGTATGTCCATGGGAATTTGCTCGGAGGGCATCCCCACCTATATATATATTGGAACTTAGTGCTCCAGCTACACAAAGGCCTAAACTGATAGTTGAATTGCACATTAATAGTTATATGCTCGACAAGGCTTACAAAACTTTCCTTCTTGGTTGATTCATATCAACCCAGCTAACCTTGAGTAACAATAAAATGACTTCTGAGAAATGTTTTTCGAGCTTTTAGTGTTTGGATGCAACATGAAAGTCGGATAACATTTTCCTTGAAAAATGAAGCCAATTTGGGAGAGTTATTTTTCGCCAAAATGTTTAAACACCATTTTCCGTTGATTGCAAGAACTTTATATACTTATTCACTGTGAATTAAGCTAACCACACAAGATTAAAGAAAGAATTGAAAAGGGGGAGTGTGAGATGGAGTTACTTGGGCCAAGATCTGACTCCCAACTCAGAGAGTTTGGACTCGGGAGGGTCGGTGATGATCTTGATTCCGCCTTTCTCAATGGCCATCACGCCGCCGTGAGGTTCCGTCGAAGCTCTTATCACGATTCGGAGTGCTCTTTCGGTTTGGGTTTGGGACTTCAGTGAAGTAAAAGAGATAGAGTTGCGGCCCACCACTTTATACCTATTCTTCACTTTGGGTCTGTTATTAGGGTTAGCAGTGAAGCACCCACTTAATGCAACAGTGGCCATGGCTTTTTGATTCACACAATTCTCCAATTCTGCATACAAAATACTATAATGCAACCATTCACCCTTGGCCCTTTGCCATCCACTCATCCCTTATCATTTTCTTCTCCAATTTTCCTTTTCCTCTATGCCTCTATCTCATTTAACACTCTTTTTTCTTTATAAAATTTTAAAATAATGGTCAAATAGGTCATCGAACTGCACACATTAGTGTAATTAGGTCATTGAACTTTAAAAAGCAACAATTAGATCTCTAAACTAATCATTTTCTTGCAATTAGTCTAATTTATAAATTTTCTAAGTTGCTAACAAGTCACCTTTAATTTATTTTTTTTTAATTTAAAATATTTTTTAAAAATATTTATTATTTAAAATTTTAAAAAAATAAAATCTTTCCTGCTGGAGACGAAGAAGTTATCTTCGTCTCCGATTAGAGACGAAGAGACTCTACGTCTCCGGCCATGGAGACGAAGATAACTTTTTTCTCTCCGGCTACGGAGACGAATAGTCTCGTCGTCTCCATGGCCGAAGATGAAGAGACTCTTTATACATAATGCCACATTTGAAAATAAAGTCAAAAAAAATAATTTGTAGTAAGATTTAAAAAAAAAAATACAACATCCATTATCTTCTCACTTCAACATGATGCAATATGAATTTTGTCAAATTTAACTCTAGAAGAAATTAGCTCATAACTCTTTAACATGATACATTATTTACCATATTTATCATTCGTGCAAAACTATCAATCCTTATACCATGGACCAGGGTTTACATAGCACTGTGGACCCTAGTGCATGTGTATGTGTCTTATGTTTTAAGTTTTTTTTTTGTGTTTTGTGTTATGAAATTTTGTACATAAAATAACTTAGTAATTGTGTCTTATGTTGTAAATTCATGTGTCTTGTGTTGTGAAATTCTGTGTCTATGAACACAAATTATATACCTAAATCAGATTTAGAAAATAAGTAAATATAACGTGTATGTGACTTATGGAATATATTAAATATGACAAAAGAAAACAATCAATCCGTTGTAGTCTAGTTGGTTAGGATACTCGGCTCTCACCCAAGAGACCCGGGTTCGATTCCCGGCAACGGAAGCTTTTGTTGTTGCTTTTATTTTTCACGGCGAAGGAAAAAACAGAACATTGGGCTTGTAGAAGTAGCAAAAATTTATGGGGTGAGAGAGGCTCGAACTCTCGACCTCAGGATCACTCAGAAGCTATGAGACCTACGCGCTAGCCAACTGCGCCACCACCCCATGTTGGTGCATAACTTTTAAAGAAGACTATTATATTATGTTTTGTTATTTGTGTATTTTAGTATCTAAAGAAAAGCGTTGATACTAAGCACAGTTCCGGCGCTGAGTATTTGTGAAGAACACAGAATCTTCTGGGAGCTTCTCACTTTAGTGATTGCTGTTTTCTGGCATCCGCTTCAGTAGTATTCGACCCGCCTCCATCTTCAGGTTCGTAGTTGCTGACTCCGTCTATAAATCTTTAATTTGTTCAATTGTTTGCCTAAAATTTTGAGTTTTGAACTTTTTTTTTTTGTTTTGTTTTGTTTTTTTTTTTGTTTTGTTTTTTTTTTTTTTTTTTTTTTTTTTTTAAATGTTGAAAGGTTGAGTTTTGAACTTATTCAGCAATTTTTATTGTGTTTTTGCTCTAATTTTCCTAATTATTTTTGCCAATGTTGCCCTAATTACTTGGATCTGGTATCTGTCTGTAATTGTATATCCAGTGTTTAGCTCTCTAAAGGAATTGGTATATTGAAAAAATAATGTGCTCTATAATTCAGATAAGTATTAGCTTCCGGTCTAACAATTACCTCTGCAGAATGACCTACACCGATGAGTAGAAAAATCTTCTTTTCGAATGAGTTTCCATGTGTCTGGTTACAGAGTTAAATAAAAAACTTGGTATTTGAAAATTGAAATAAATAAATAAGACCTTTACATATTTTTTAAGAAAACTGGGAATGGGATGGTGCCACCGTTCTGAGGTATTCATGAGACAATCACATTAGTCTAGATTAACATTAGCCTATAGTGAAATTGTAGAGTAGAAAGCGAAATTGTGAAGTGCATCCGCTGGCTATTTTGAATTGTATAGCAGAACTGGAATCTATACTAAATGCCTGCAATTAAGTTCTCTACTTAAGATCATTGAAATCTTTTAATAATGTAAAACACATGCTTGTTTAGGAATGAGAATGGCAGTTGGTGTTCCTTTGCAAGGTTGATCAGTTCAAAAGAGTAAAAGGGAAAAGGAATGAGATAGCAGTCAACAAAGATGATGTTTTTCTCAAATCAAAACATTAGCAGCTACCTGCGATATTGGTGATTAGAAGATAAAGATAACATTTTAACAGCTATCTGCAAATCTGCAATAAGGCTTATTATATTCTAACCCACAGAAATAAAGATATATAAACACTACTACAGAATTCACATATAACGTCGGGCCTTTAACGTCGGCTATATACTTAGCCGACGTTAAAAGTCTATTTTAATTTTTATTTTTTTTATAAAACCTATAACGTCGGCTATTAACAAATAGCCGACGTTAAAGCCTATTTTAATTTTTATTTTTTTTTTATAAAACCTATAACGTCGGCTATTAACAAATAGCCGACGTTATAAATAAAAAATAAAAAATAAATAAAAAATAAATACAATACAACGTCGGCTATCTATAGAGCCGACGTCGTAGGTTATTTTATTGTGTATTTATTTATTTTTTATTATTTTTAACGTCGGCTATTTGTTAATAGCCGACGTTATAGGTTTTATAAAAAAAAAAATTTAAAATTAAAATAGGGTTTTAAAAATAGATCTGAGTGGTTTTGAAATCATTTTCACACCACCGCCCCTTTTCCCTTCTCCGCAGCCCGCAGCCCCTTTTCACTTCTCCCCAGCGCCCACCGGCCGGCCAGCAACCCGCCACCGCCAACATCACAGCCACCGGCCAGCGTCGGTTTCGCTCCTCCATCGCCCACCGTCATACCGCACAGCCACCGCCACACCGCACCTTCTATTCGACGCCTCCGCTGCCGAGCCACAGCCACAGCCGCCTAGCTTCCCGCTGCACGGCCGCCCACAGACGAAGCGCTGCACCGCCACACTGCCTTCCGCCGCACCCCGCTCCTTTGGTATTTTTTTAAATTATTATTTTAATTTCTAAATATTGAAATTACAATAATTATATTTTAAATTATTTATTAATGTATTTCGAATTTTAGGAATTGTTAGGTATATATTTTGAATTTTATAAGTTATTGGTTATATATTTGGAACTATTGATATACTTGTATTTTAAGATTTATTTGTAATATGTTTCGAATTACTATTAATTTAATTTGAATTTTACTAAATAATGTTGATATATTTGTATTTTAGGATTTATTGATAATATGGGTACAACATCTTGCCATCTTTCTAGATAATTAAGTGAATATTATCGAAGCTATCTTTCTATATAGTTTTGTTTGGGTTTCAATTGCTCTTGTTTCAGCTTTTGTTGGTTGGTTCTGTAATACTGGGAATTGTGGTTTGAGTCTCAAAGTACTAATCTTGATCTATTTTGTGTTTGTGCCCTGTTTATCTCTGCAGGTTGTGTTTTTTTCCCTCTACTTTTTAGAGTTTTAGGGTGATGTTGTGGATTTAGCAAGCTAATCAAGATTGTTTATCTGTAAAGAATCTGTTTTTATGCTTAATACATTAGTTCTTGTTACAAGTTGAAACATAGGAATTTAGTTGTCTAGATTGTATGATAAGGAGTTTGTGGATGTAAGCAAGATGTATGCTTACCTGTCCTCTTCATTTTGTTCTGCTCCACGTCCAAGTAAACCATTGGAAGTTGTTATTGCTGGTGCCGGTAAATTTTTAGTCGGTCTCAATTATATTTTCTTATTGGCGTTTTTGAAGAAATGCTATTCCTTTGCTACTTCTGTTGTACTAGAACGTTTAGGGGGATTATTCCACTTCAGTTTTACGTTGAAACAACCCCTCACTATGCTCTAAGAAATGTAGAAAGCTCCTTTCATTCTACTATCTTACAACTATCTTATAACCGAACTTTGAAAGGAGAAAAAGGAATTCAAAGAAATTTGTTTTCGTATTTCGGTGCTTGCAGGTTTGGCTGGGTTGTCTACTGCAAAATATTTAGCAGATGCGGGCCACAAATAACCGACGTTGAAGGGTTATTTTTTTTAATAAATAAAACTTTACAACGTCGGTTATTTTCTAATAACCGACGTTGTACAGTAGTTTAAAAAAAAAAAAAATTTCTAATAGTATACATAAAACGTCGGTTATTTATTAATAACCGACGTTGTATGTATACTATTAAAAAAAAATATTTTACAACGTCGGTTTTCATATAGCCGACGTTGTATGTTAAACATACAACGTCGCCTGCAACAACTTCGCTTTTTAGCCGACGTTAAAGGGTCTAAATAGCCGACGTTAAAGGTCATCTGTGTAGTAGTGAAACAATCACTTAGGTATCAAACATAGTGTTGTAGTGTTTTAAAGATTAGAGACTGTCTAGTGTTTTATTAAGGATACATCATAAATCTTGTATTGTTATTTATAATGTATTTTGTATTTGAACAATCTGATCTTATTCATATTTGATATTTTTGAATTCATCGCCCCCACTCAAAGGAAATTCTGGCTCCGTCCCTGATTGTTCTCTTCTTCCAGCTAAATGGCTGTAGATATGTACTCGGAGCGGCCACTCTTTGGTGGCGCCATCGCTTCTATGTTCCCTGTCCGCTTCCAGGTCTGCGCCTACTTGTCATTAATTTCATCTGCTTGCCTTTAATTATTTGTTCAAGTATTGATATTTAAATGCTGTAATTTGTTTATACTTCAATTCGAATTTTAGGACGTCAGTAATGTGCGCCAAGTTCCCGATCATCAGGTCTGTTGGTTTTAAATTTAAAGCACCGGTTAATTGTTAGTGTTTCTATACTGATTTTGGATTGTTACTGTAATATGATGTGAATTTTGGTTGTCCTGAATGATAGGAGGTGTTTGTGGACCCTGCGCGGGATGAGAGTTTGATTTTCGAGCTCCTCGATTTGAAACAGGATGTGGCGGATAACGGAAGTGCCACCTGGTTTCTTCAGGACCTTGCGAATGAGCAAGACGCCGAGGGCACCATGGTAATCGAGCAGTCAGGAGTGGTTGAGGCTCCTGGGCTGTCCTTCCGGACCTTGCCTGCCATCATTACTACTGCTGTTGGTCAAATGGTATGTATTTCTTATTTGCATGTAAGGAAAATGGGGAAAGGATGCAAAGATTTCAAATTGTGTATGCAACAATATTCATTCTCAGGCTATATCTAAGGGAAGACAAGGGAGGGAGGCACAAAACTTGGTCAAGGTCTATTTGGCAAATGTGCGTCTCAAGGAAGTGACTGCCGATATTCTGATCACTGCATATGAGCCTATTGTGATAAAGTAAGGAAGTTCCCTTTACTACCTGGTTACTTTCTTCATCTGCAACCCGGGTTTAATCTGTTGAAAACTAAAGAGTTAGGTTTATCTAGAAGGTTGTGTCTGTTTATGAATAGGTGTCAGTTATGGGTAGTTACTTACAGTTATGTATTTGTGTATATATATGTACTGTGTTTCTGTATTAGAAACAGAGAGAATACTAATATAATTTCAGTCTTATATTTATTTCCTAGTCCTTGATTCTTCATATTGCTTCCGCCTAACTGGCGGGTGGTATTATTCTCCACCCGCCAAGCCATTCCATCTTCCAAATTCAACATAATCTATCCCTTTGTAGATGTCCTGCTTGCAAATGTTTGTATTGACTTGCTCTAAACTTTTGGATTGTAGCTTGTTGAGCGAAAGTGCAAGCGCAGTCAGAGCTGGTGTAGCTGTTCCTGCTGCGCAAGCTGGATGTATGCCAATGGCTGAGGTTTTTAAACTTGCTGTTTCCACCTTCAAAGTGAACGATTGGAGACTTTTTGGTGCTGATCGAGGTTGAATGCTCCGAAGATTCATTTCCCGTGGTGAGGTCTTGCATCTTTCATAAAACCAATGTTGTAGAGTTTTTTTTTTTTTTTTTTTTTTTTTTTTTTTTTTTTTTTTGCAAGGGCTCAAATATTGGGTCTAGTTCTATCAAATATTAAGCTTTACATTTTCAACATTCTTTTTCTCCCTCAAGCTTTTTGATCAAATATATACTTCCATTACCTGCATAGACAAAAACTAATTGCGACAGATTGAATTCTATGCTTTACCCCCATATATATATATCCACTGGGACATCATTTTCATGAAAACTCCAAAGGGCAATATGAAAGCTGCCGAGAAAATTATTGATGTGAAATTTCACGAGAGACCCACTGGGTATGTGTGATCTGAAATAGGAAGATGAAAAGCACTTGTGATAGTGTAATCTGTCAAATAATTCAGATGACAGCGGTTTTGTCCCGGTCTTTTTTAGCCAGTTTTGCTTTACAATTTGAAGCACTGCAGCTGCAGGTGGGATGTGCATTTGTGATAAAAGTGGATTTTCCGGCCGCTGCTCGCCGTGCAACGCCATTTGTGAGTTATTGATTTGTTGAAATTAAGTTGGGGTTTGTGATGGGTGAAAGCTGAATATGAGTGCAAAAGATGAATAATTGTGAGTGAGCTAATGAACTGAGACTGTGAAGGTAGTGAAGTTTAAATTCATGGGGTGTTTGGTAGGATGGAATTGCAATTCCATTCTTACCGAACTCTATGAAATTGCAATTCCACGGAATTACAATTCATTCCAACCATGGAATTGCAATTCCACGGAGTTGGAACAGCGTCACTTTCAGATACTCATTAAAGAATTTTTGGTTGCTGAGGTGAGTGAATTCTGAATTGACTTGTCAATGAGGCTACAACCACCTCAATGGCAGCTTCACTCCTATAGTTGTAAATTTTGAGGAGTTTTTGCAGGTGTGACAAGAAAGGATGAGAACGAAAGAGAAAAAGAAAAAAAAAACGCAAAACAAATCTGAAATCTGAAATAATAATAATAATAAAAGCTTCATTAACGTGCCTGGTTGGGCGCTGTGGTGCACTTCACGCCAACCAAGCGAGAAGCTTGTTTTTCCTTGGCGGGATTCACAATTTTATTCTGTCTTTCTATTTGTCATAACTAATTTCTGAACCTATTGAAGCATAGTCAATAACTTCTCCATTTAGGTTCGAATTTACCACCTCCCATTGGGAGACCAACCTGGTGCCATTAGATCTGTTAGATGAAAGAGAGAGAAAATATGTGAAATGTAGATAGAGTAATAATTCGAAAATTGAATCTATAATATGGGTATAATTAAAACACTAAAATTTTCATTTTTCTAGTTTTTTTTTAATAGTAAATAATGGATAAAAATAAGTATATTATTTAATTTATGGATGGATTTGAGAGGTGAAAATGATATTATTTAAACTTAAAAAATAATAAAAATATATATATATGTGTGTGTGTGTGTGTGTGTGTGTGTGTGTGTGTGTGTGTGTGTATTCAAATGAGGACAAGTATATTATAGAGGACTGTGAGGACAAATGTAGTGTGTGCCATTAGCCGGTATGTCGTGTGCATGGCCGAATGTAGTCGTGTGCCACAATTAGGGGTGGGAATAGGCCAGACCCCTTGTAAGGGCCTATGTCCAGGCGTAATTAAAGCCTAGTTAGTCCTAGCTCGTTTAGTAAAAAGGCCAGACTTGAGCCAATTTCAAAGCCTATTAAACTAAACAGGCCGGGCCTATATAGACCAGGCTCGACCTTCAGGCCTACAGGCTTGGCATATATATATATATATATATATATATATATATATATATATATATATATATATATATATAGGGGAGGCTTCAAGTAAGAACCCTTTATTAGATAGGAACATAAGAACTAATTCAATCCATTCAGAATCTCTTAATCAATGGTCAAGATAATTAGGCATCTTAAAGAGCATCTTTACCATAATTAATTACAAAGGACATTAGTGTAATTATGTCCACCTATCAATTAAAATCAAATATTATATTTAGATTCTTTCCAAGATTTTAGGATGACAAAATAAGGGAGGACTCCTGTTGATTGGTGAATTTGCATTCTGCGACTGCATCACCTTCGAACGATCACCAAACAACAAATTTCGGAAAGAGAGACTACGACCACAGATCAACGAATATTACTACTCAAGGATGGCCAAGGGCAACAATGAAGGAAACATAAATATTTATTCCCAAAATCTGTATGTACTAGTGTGTGAGATTAAATTGAGTTGTGTCATTCATACTCCTCTGTGTAATCCAACAAATGAATGAAAAGTGTCGTTGTGTTGTGTGGCTACTCTAGATTGGTAGGGAATGTTGAACAATAGTGGTTTGAACATTTAGCAATCACCATGCTATGATTCTGTCAAATTTGCAAACTGGGCAGTCGATATGGCACACACAATTTAGCATAAGTGCATGACATTGTCTATAACATTAATCTAGTTTCCGTGAATTCAATGGTTCAGTATTTTTGCACAGTATGACACACATAATACAACTCATGTACACACGCAAGGAATTTAGTAATATGTACCCTCCAGCACTCCAAGGATCTCTCAAACCATTAGTGAATACGATGTTGCTTCCAAACCTTTTCAGCACTAATTTTATGTCCTGTAATGTTATTAGATACAATGAGTATTGTCACCATCATTAAACTTTGTTTATTTATTTTTAGAGTTAATATCATATGAGGTCCTCTGAGTATAGTAGTTTTGTCACATTTAGTCTTAAACTTTCAAATTGACCATCTGTGGTCCTTCGACTTTCAAATTTAACCATTTGTGGTCCAAGTTAACCACCCATAGTCCTTAAATTATTAAATTTTAACCAACCATGGTCCTTTCAAGAGGACCATAGCTGGTTAAATTTCGAAACTTGAAGGACCAGTGTGGTTAACTTGGACAACGAATGGTTAAATTTGAAAGTTGAAGGACCACAGATGGTCAATTTAAAAATTTAGGACTAAACTTGACAAAACCATTATACTCGGAGGACCTCAGATGGCATTAACTCTTTATTTTTACATTAAAGAAAAAAAGAAGAAGACATACATGGCCTCCAAAATAGGTAGTGACCCAATGTGGTCTGGGTGGAACACCGTATGCACTCTTACATTGCTCGATGTAGCTTTCAACATCAAATGAACTTTGAGGGAACATGGTGTCATTGCCAGTGCTAATGGTGAACACAAGATCACTGCAAATCTATTCCACAAATTAAATATTAATCTCTAGTTAATAAATATACATTTACATAATTATATTTAATCTTAGCCAATGTTGCAAAAAGCGCTCGGCGTTAGTCGGGCGCCTTAACGCCTAGAACAACTAGGCGTCCGAGTAATACGAATATATCATATGTACTTTTCCCACTTAGTGCTGGGAGTTGTTAGATAGTTTGTTATAATTTCACAAACTAGTCAAGTACAAAACAAACCACTCGACCGAGTTGTGTGCCAACTCGACCTATTAGTTAAATTAGGCGCCTAGGGCACTTAGTCGGTCGATTAATCGGTCAGCCAAGTAAAAGCCGCCTAGGACTGAAATCGCCTCTGCCTAGGGACGTCTAGCGCTTAGGAGGGAGGTTGTCTAGACCGTTATAAATAAATGTGAGCATGCACATACATACATACACGTACCTGCCAACTCCAACTTAAAAGTGAAATGTTATCGGTTACACTAGTTGCATTTATATAACAAGAGCTATTGCCTGCAATGGCAACTAGACCGGCAAATATTCGATCCAATATATCCGTTTTATTTGGAGCTTCATCGATGCCACGGCATATCATATCAACGGGATAGATTGGTGGAATGTCAAATTTTGCATTTTGAATGTATACGGCCTCTAGGTATGATACGAGATCCGATACATCACTTAGATTTCTGAAACAAAAATATAAAAATTAATACTCCATATATATATATATATATATATATATATATATATATATATATATATATATATATATTAGTAATCACATGAGAACCACCATCTCTATGAATACATAGAATCAATATGGTGCATTAAAAATGAGATCTATGAATATCATTAATTAGGAGATTCAAAATTCGTGTGTGCATATGGGGCACGTGCTATGTGCATATCCTATGTTTGCACGCAAACACAAACTTAATATGCAAATTCAAATTTTGAATCCCCAATTGCAGCTATATGCACACGCAAATTTTAAATCTCTCAATTAATTGTGCATATGGGGCACAACACATGCTTAATATGCACACAAAAAATTTGAATCCTATATTGCACACAACACATGCCTTATATGTGCACGCGAATTTTAAATTCATCAATTAATCTCATCCATACATCTGGTTTTTAATGCACCATACATATTGGTTCTCATTTACTCATGGGGAAGGTGGTCACGCAAACACATGTGTATGTGTGTGTGTGTGTTTATATTTATGTTGAAGTAACTAATTGTGCGAACCTGAGAACCTGCGCACACCCTTGATGTTGCATCAACCAACGGGCCATAACATAATGCACGAAAAAATTCAATCTAAGACATGGTGCACAATGTGTGCGCGTTGTGTTTGCATTGCACTATGTGTGCGCATTGTGTTATAAATAACATGCACCGTCCACTAATATAAATACAAGGGTCCACATTAATTATAAGTTTCACATTTTCATATAAAACATGCAATTTTTTTGTATATATATATATATATATATGTATATGGGGAAGGGGAGAACAGGTGCATTTGTGGCTTCCCGTGTGGTTGTGCGGTTGATTAATGTGCATGAGTTTTATACTTAATGTGCGTGAGTCATGTGCTTAATGTGCCTGAGATTTGTACTTAATGTGCGTGAGTGTGTAATGCTAATGTGTGTGAGTTTTGTAGTTAATGTGCCTGCATATTGTGCTTAATGTGTGAGAGGTTTGTGCTTAATGTGCTTGACTTTTAACACAATCGCACAGGAAGCTATAAACAAAATACATTCAGACCACAAACTCACACACATTAAACGCAAAAGTCAGACGAAGACGTATATGATGAAGAACAGAGAGAGGGGAAGAGATGATTAAGGAAATAGGAAGAGAAGACGAAGACGTATATGATGAAGAACAGAGAGAGGGGAAGAGAGGATTAAGGGAATATGAAGAGAAGACGAAGACGAAGACAAAGACGTAGAGGAAGACGTATATGAAGAAGAACAGAGAGAGGGGAAGAGATGATTAAGGGAAAAAAAGAAGAAGAGAAGACGAAGACGTATATGTACAGGAGCAACATGAGCACATTAACATTACACACTCACGCACATTAAGTACAAATCTCAGGCACATTAAACACAAGACTCAGGCACATTAAGTACAAAACTCACGCATATTAACATTACACACACACGCACATTAAGTACAAAGCTCATGCACATTAAGCACAAGACTCACGCACATTAAGTACAAAGCTCACGCACATTAATCAACTGCACAACCGCACAGGAGACACCTAATCGCACTGGAACCTTTCCATATATATAGGTTCTGGTGCGGTTAAAGTGCTCACGTGCGGTTGTGCGGTTTAATCTGGGTCATTCATCTCGCTTAAATCAACGTCCAGGATTACCAAAATTTAAAAAAAAAAAAATAAATAAAAGCAATGGTAATTTTGTAATTTTTAAATCTAGGTCAAAATTAATGTGAGCGGTTTTGTGATTAATAATGTGCGTGAGTTTTGTATATAAGATGCGTGAGTATTGTGCATACGTGAATTTTGTGCTTAATATGAGTGGGGTTGTGCTTAACGTGAGTAGTTGGTAAAACTTAAAGTGTGGGCTTTTGTGTTTAAGGTGCGTGAGATTTGTTCTTAATGTGTGTGGAGTTTGTGCTTAATTTATGTAGGGTTTGATCAACAACTCAAATCTAACCGCTCAACTGCACGGGAACCTATATCTGCACGGGAACCTATCTCAAAAGTCTAAAAATTTTGATCCGTGGTGACTCTAAAATTGTAATTCAATTACTACTGTAATTTACTAAGTTCTTAAAAATTTGTAATATTAAATATTATATACTAAATTTTTAATATAGTTTAAGATTTGTAGTAATCACTCACCTTAAATATTATTTTAATTGTAAATATATTTATGTTCATAATTTTATCATAGGAATTTGCACATAATAATTATTAAATAACAAAAAATTTATATAGGAATAAACCTCATATAGGGTATATTTTTATAACATATTTTCCGTGCATCGCACGGGACAAATACTAGTATGAAATAAAAGTGAAATAATTTTTAAAGCTAAATACTAAAAGTGATAATTAAGGAAAATTAAAAACTTGTGAATGATCTGTGAGACGGGTGAGTTGAAGACAATAAGTGTGTAACTATCATAATTTCAGTTATAAGTATTACAACATATATCATTAATATGTAACAATTAATTTTACGCTATCATAAGTAACGATTTATTTTTAATTCAAATTGGTATTAATTTTTAAACAATAATAAGTATTACAATTTCTTAATTTCATAAGTAACATTTCAAATATAAGTATTACAATGTTTACATTAAATTTACACTTTGTAATATCACAATTTCAGTTATAAATATTACAATATTTATTATTAATAACAATATAATCATTTTACCCTAAATAGTATCACAATTTCACACATAAATATTATAATATCTATTACTATGTACAAGTTACAATTCATTTATTTCAATTTGATATAAAATTTTATAATAATAAGTATTTTGAGTTCTATCATAAGTAACAAGCAACTATCCTAGCTAGATTCGACCAGTCTCACATATTAATATCCGTGAGATGACCTCGCACTAGTGTGACGTGGCAATTAAATGTGTAGAGTATGTAGAAGTGAAATTTATATTTCGAGTTCCACAATGTTCCAAGTTCCACTCTTATTGGGAGCGGTTGGTTGGCCTTCGTAGTTTGAGATGGTGAGTTATGAACAACTTAAACTGGTTTACACCATTGTGTTCATTTGACGACTAAAATCACAAAGTGAGATTCGTCCACACAGAGTACACCTCTGGATAGCGGTAAATTATTCTGTGGACACGGGTTTACCTTGCAAGGTAGACCCTGGTCCAAAATACACAATTTACATACTGAGTGCTCACAATTTTGTAAAAGGTACATTGTGAATATTGAGTATGTAAATTCTGAACATTCAGTATACAAATTGTATATTTTAAACCGGGATTCATTTTGCAAAGTGGACCCTGATCCATGGTATAACAATTACTAGTATAGATAGCAATTGTGGAGTTTTCCATAGAAGCAAAATTTATTCAACCCATCCACAAAATAATTGACTATAGTTATAGGCGCTTACCTCTAGATATACTACCAAAGCTTTGAAACGAGGAGCATTGTCATGGATAAAGCCAAAAAGGGTTATATCATCTTCAAGCACGTCTTCTCCACCAAGATATACAAAAATTGGAGCGTGGCCTCCTCCCCAGTATTTGGAGTTGATGAGATATCTTTGTGGGAAAGTGACAAAGCTTTGAGGTTGGTAGTTGAAGTGGTCCAATGTTTGGTTATAGTAAAAGGTTTCCAGAGAGCTCAAAATGGAACCCTTTTCTGCTAGGCTTCTTCTCAGATTATTTCCCAAACCAGGGACGTTGGGTGGTGTTGCTTTGGCAGTAACAAGTAAGAGGAGACCAAGAACACATAGTAAAAGTTTGTGCATATCCATAGAGATTAGAGAATTTCTGTTTTTTCAATTCAATGAAAAGTTTGATATGAAGAGTCAATTATAAGTTTATAACATCAATATATATAGGGAGGTTTTATGGTACTGTAATACATGGATGGTGTTTTATTTTTAAATAATTAATATTTTTTAAAGTATAGTCGTACCTTTCACTTTTAGAAATGAGAAGTTAAAGAGGGATAGCTACAAGTCAAAAATTTCCTATATGAAATAAAAAAAGAAAAAGAAATTGACCCAGTCTAATTAAAGATTTCCTTAGTATATGAAAATAATTCCTTTAATATGAATTCCAGAGATCACAATAGAATACTTGCTTTTCGTGCAAAGGCTTCTGTAGTGTAAAATCTAGATTTTTTTTCCGGCCTAACCCGTCCAAAACAAGCAATTTATATCGTGCACCAGCGCGCACATTGCATTATGCGCCTTGATACAAATGACGTCGTTTCACATAATTGTATAAACAAATACACATAATTGTATAAACAAATACACATAATTGTATAAACAAACAAATATAACTGTATAAAAAATACACATAATTATATAAACAAATACACATAATTGTATAAACAAATACACATAATTACGTTAACTCCCTACCGCGCCTCCCAAAACGACGTCGTTTGGGAGGCGCGGAGTGCACAATGCAATGTGTGCCGTGGTGCAGGTTATAACGATTGTCCAAAACACGGGTTAAAAAGACCCAACTCGTCAAGCTGGGCCCGTTTTAACGGCTCTACCTACAATTGTACTGTTATATGCCATAGAAGCGTGTCCACCTTGCAAAGTGAACATGCATGGTTCTATGTTCATAATTATAAAATTCTATGTTCATAATTATAAAATTCTATGTTTATAATTTTTGAACTTAAAATTCACAATTATTGAACTCTATATTCACAATTACAGAACTCTATGTTCATAATTATAGAACTCTATATTCATAACTCTATGTTCATAAGCATAGAACTCTATGTTCATAATTTTTGAACTCTATATATTCACAATTATAACAGTTTTGGAAACATGTCCACCTTGTAAGGTGCACACGGTTCCACAGCATAATTTGCCCTCTACCTAGGACTCTAGGAGGCTTAGGTAGTCAGTACATAGGCGGAGCTTAGGCGGCCTAGCCGGCCGCCTGGACAACTGAT